TTGGGGGGGGGGGGGGGGACAGGGAGACAAGGGAGAGGTTTGGGAGGGCGTGCAGGATGTCTGTAGGTAAGACCTCGGAGAGAACAAGAAGGGAAGAACTCATAGGTTTTATCATAGAATGATCCTGGTCCGTGTTATTTGCTTGTGCTAAATATTAGCTATGAAAGGGACACTAGCAACCTGAAAATACTTACAAGTGTTTGAGCTTACACTAGTCAGAGTCCCTGCAATTGTCTCTTACAATAAAACAGAAGAAAACACTTTTAGAAATAGGAAAATATAATTTTTGTTGATGATTCAATTGTCCAATTTTTCAAAAATGATTCTCTCTCACTTTGCAGTTGGAAAGACCCTCATAAACCAGGGAAAGTGCAACTGTGTAAGCATCCACACAGGTACTGCACATACACAGTTACATGCTGCTGAGGCAGATATATGGCTATGTACATGTGTGTACTGGATTCTCGTCACAATTCTGTCTACCTAAAGCTGATGACTAGTGAGTGTCAGATGCTTGAAGAAGACAGCTCTCCCATCTTTAATTCCTATGAACTTAATGGTCAGGGTACTCACCCTGGAGGCAGGAGACCCAGCTAGTAAGCCTCTCCTGGAGGGGGTTTGAACTTGCATCTCTTCCCAGAACATAGTTCTAACAGCTGTACTACAACTATAGCATCAGCTGGTCCTTCAACCTGCCTTTGAAATGGGCCTTCTAGGCACTCAAGAGACAGAGAGATGTGGGAAGAGGAGGAAGAAAACAAACTGGAGGATGGCTCAGCGTGATAGATGCTGCTGGAAAGGAGCTGTTCTGTGACAGAGGGGAAGAGGTGGTCGGGGACTCAAGGCTGTGGAGGGGACAAGAGGCAGGGCCTAACTGCTTCACCCCCCATTTCTCCCCATAACTGCTTAACTCTCCATTATTGGTGCATTGTCTTAAATTCAGGGTTGTCTTGGATTTGGGGAAATACAGTAAATATACTTGATAACCCAGGAAGAGGACCATGCCCCTGCTACAGAGAAAGTCAAAACACTCCAGTCTGTACTAATCTGATCCTGAGGTTAAATTCACAGCAGATGTGGTGACTGTTTTGAGTCTGAGTGGTGGGGCAATGCCCCCTCAATTGGAAAGATTTTAGTTTCAGCAGAAGCATTGGCACACCCCAGACAAAATTCCCAGGTTTGGCTGCAGCTGTTACCTAATGCTTCTGAGGAATGTGAAAAAAAACCTAACAGCTGTAGCAACAGGATGGGGGAAAATTCCTTCCAGCCCCATGTCGCAACCAGCAAAGCGCAGAAGCATGGGGGAAACTAAACAATCGGGGGAAAACAGACAAGTCCACACATCACAGCCTCTTTCTGTCATCCTTTCCTCTGTAAACTTATCCTAGCATCTCTGATTTTCTTCTTAACTAAGTTGGTTATGGAGCTCTGCTCATTCTGCTGATGAGCAATGTCCTCCCCAATATCCACTCTGGGCTGAAGACCTTTTTCATGTTCTCTCTCTTCCTTATCACAGCCCTTCAGCTTTTGAGGATTGCCATCACATCTCCTCTTAAATCACCTTTTCCACAAGCTGACTGTGCCTGTTTCTTTCAACCTCTGTCATGTGGCTTGCCTCATAAGCCCTTTATCAGGGCTTTGTTCTGGCACCCTCTCTCTTCAACTGATATTCCCCATACAAAAATTAAGGAAGTTTATTTACACTGAAAATATCACCATCCTAGCACAGAACTCTGAGTCTAATATTACTGAAACTACACTCAGTAATGATTTGGCAAAATTAGATTATGTTAATGAATAGCATTTGAAGTCCAGCCCTGACAAAACAGTTTATTCCTTTTTTCATCTCACTAATGCCCAAGTGAATGCTCAACTCAGAATCAGCTTTTGTTGGAAACCGGTCAACTATGAACTCAACCCCAAATATTTAGGAGTCCACCTCAACTGTAGT